AAGCAGGTCTCCCACCGCCGCTTCCGCCTCTGGTCCGTTCCGAACCCCGCTTCCGCCCCTCGGTGCTCCCCGCTCCTTGTAGCCCCTCCGCAGTATACCCTGAACCCCCGTTCCGCAGTCGGCCGTGATCCCCGGTGTCCGCCGGTGCCCCGGATTCCCCGCAGTAAGCTTTTCGGAACCTTGTGCATTCGGTCTACTTTTCTCCGCTTTCCCGCGCCTCGGAAAGCTAGACTTTCCACTAATGCACCGCCGCTTTCCTCAGCCTGCTTGTGTAGCGTCAGCTCCGCGTGCTTTCCGCATCAGCGCCGCGAGCATTCCGCATGCCCCAAACAAACCAGCCAAAGCTTTGGCCAAGGCGCGCTCCCGCCACCACAACGTGAACCAGTGAGAGTGACAGAAAGAGATTGAGACTCGAGAGAAGGAAAGAAGGAGAATGGAGAAATAAACTAAAATGAAACTAATATTTAATCAATCAATGACAACAGCAACACTTTGAGTTTGACTCCCACCAGCGCTTTGACTCCCACCAGTCCTCTTCGCCTTAGTCCTAGCTTCGTTCTTCTTTTTTTCCATGTATTTGTGGAGCGCCAGAGGTTTGATCTTGTTGTTCTGTGAATAAAAAGCCAACGCCATACCTGTACTTACTGATTGTGGGTGGAGATTGTGTCGCCTAGTGGTGACATAGTCTCTACCAAAGCTGAACGTACGCTCTACGTCTACCGTTGTTGCTGTGCAAAAAGTCAGAAACAATGATCAGAATTCTGATTTTGAGATCACTGATTTACTGTGAGTCTTGAGTCTTACCTGGACAACACAGGACATCAAGGGCCATCTGTTCAAGGCCTTGATGTTGATCTCCACTCCGTTTTTGCTCCGTGCACCACTTGAGGGCATCAATCGGTCGCCGTTTATCCAAATACAGGGGACCTGTGAGCCATCTGGTAATGGGGTCACTCGAGGGGGCCGCAATTCAAGCTTCAGCAGCATCACCTATACCTGCCAGGACCCCAGTTTGCGGCTGGTGGAGGATTTGATCAGTTGATTTGAATCAGAAGGGGGCAAATTAAATGGAACTTACCCATCCTGATTCATCTTCCAGTTCTTCTGCACTTGGTTCTGATTCCACGTTTCGAGGTTTGTACCACTTATTGTACATCTCGCGGGTGAGTTTAACTGCCTCATTGATCCATTCCTTAGGCCATTTGGCCAGCTTAAAGTATTCGTCCTTGAAAGACGGATGGAGAACTGGAAATTCAGAGATAATATTTGTTAGTGGCCAGGAATGTCATATGTAATCACATGAGAGTTGAAGAAAATCAAAAGACCTACTCATTGCAATTCTGTATAATGGTGAGCAGTCAGTCAGTGAGTAATACTTAATGGTTATGCAAAGGCCGGCGCGACACGCATTTCGTAGAGCTGGAGGGTGATCTCGTTCAGAATCCTGTTTTGCAATCACGGCGGCAAGGTTGGATGTGATTTGATCAATCATGAGAACAACCTCGGCAATCCGGGCCGAGGCTTTGGTTGACAATTGGAGGGTGATTTCGTAAAACGGTCGGAGAAGTCGAACCAAGTCCGCGGCTAAGTCAAAGTCTTCTTTTTGAACGTGATAGTTACGGGGCATTCCAAACTGCTTATCGCGCTGCCACAAGACATTTTCATGAATAAAAGGTTAGTTTGGGTAATTATTGGGGATCATGATCTGATAATGATTAGACTTACATGGCTTCTTCACATCGGACAATACTCGACAGTTGCATGTAAGTCGAGTTCCACCGAGTCGGGACGTCACGCTCGATGGTGTGGGGTTTCTTGCATTGAGCTTCTTCACAAATCTCGATGAATTTTGCCTTGGAGTTTGGGGACTTGCGAAGTTTCATGGCAATTCGACGGAACTGCCAACAGTGGATAGAATCATTCCAGTGAGAGGTGATTACAGCGATGGGCAGATACGTTCCCCAAACGGATAACATTGACTGTAACGTAACCTTTACAGTTACGTTAACCACAAGTTACAGATATCTTTATTTCAGTTACGATATTGACTGGAGCAAAAGGCCCCTTTTTTTTCTAGTTACGTTCCCAGAAATTCTGAACAAAACAGGGTTACGTTACAGAATTTCCAATATTTGGATAACTTAAGGGTAACTTTGCTGGTGATACACTGATTATTGATGGTTTTGTTCATTAAGTGCGAGATAATTCGCCCAATATGATCATAAACCAACCAGAGATTATCATTTCACCAGTAAGCCAGGTCAAAAGATGTCTGGTGTGAGGATTGAACCCACAACCTCCACATATTCACTGTACATGTGAGGCACTCCTTGACCGTTAAGCTATATGCAATATGTTTTAGCCCTTCAACCTCTCATAACACCCCTCCCCCGAAGTAAGTTACGTTACCCCAAAAAAATATATGGAAAAAATAAAATTGGTTACGTTACTTTACTTTACAAGCAAATTTAGTTACTTTACAAAAACAGCAGATTTGGATAACTAAAAAAAAGTTACGTTATCCAAATCCCCTGCTGTAACGTACCGTAACGTATCTGCCCACCACTGGTGATTAGAGATTTTGATAAAAGATGAACAGACTGACCTTTGTGAGGGTTTGGCGACACGAGTCAGAGGTATAATTATCTTTTGAGTCTTCTCGTTCAAGATCCTCAAGATTGTCTAGAGTGACATCATCGTCGAATGCTAGTTCTGGATCCTCTTTTCCGTCAGGTTCTTTGTGGTTATCTTCATCATCGTCCAAGTCACAGTTCTGTTTCTCTTGATTGAATCTAAAAATTTCCAAGTGTTATTTAGCTTCTAGTGTCAAAATTAAATGCTTGATTGAAACAGCTTACCTCACAATGTGTTCATGCTTGTCCTCTTCTTCATCTGAGTCATCAAACTCAGGCGTGCCAGCTTGGGATTTCTTACGAGTGAACGGTCAAAGTATAGCCTTGACGATAAGATTGACAATATGCGCAAAGAATCGGATCCACTGCGCCTCTCCCTTGAATCGTTTCCAATCTAGTTGTTCCAACTCCGAAATCATAGTCTCATTGTTGCTTGCATTGTCGGAAACAATACCACAGATCTATTCAGAGTTGGAACAGGGTCAGATCACAGACAATCAAGGGTGAAAAAAATTGGTACACAAGGGGGATGGAGACCAAGAAAATCTTACGTACCCTATTTTATAATCCAAATTTCTCAACAACACATCTTACCATTTCAGCCAGGTATTTGCCTGTGTGCCTTTCCTTGAGCTGCACAAAGTCCAGGGGAATTGCATCCAATTTCGTATTTCCGGCGCCATTGTCCAGAAGTCGATATACCACCGTGCCCATAATATCGTATCCATTTGGAGATTGCCACGCATCAACACCCAAGTAAAGCGCACCCTCATGCATCTGAATAGCACAAAAAATAAGTATGAACTGCGGTCAGTAATCAGTGATGTTTGATGGAAAGAAAATATTAGCCATCCAAATGTCATTTACTCACCTTTAACTCCTCACATAGCTTCTCCTGAACACATAAGTAGAGGGTATGAACACCTTTGGAAATCGTCTTTCAACTCGGAAGGTGCTTCAAGATTGTCGGATGAAGGATTCTCTTCAGGCTGGTTTCTTCGAAGGCTGAGAATGGCTTTGCGGCCTCGGCACACCAGATGACACATTGTTGCAAAACCTGAGGAAAAATCCAGGTAACAATTAATAAATATCCAAGATGGAAAAGCACTAACCTCCCGTGGATCAATATCACCTGTCCCTGATATGCCAAGTGATGCAAGCGTCTTTTGATCCGAGGGATTGTTTGCCTTCTTTGAGCATCAAGCAACGTGTGTGAGAAGATTCCCACATGAAGACTTGTGCGCAGGTTGATTAATTTTTTTCAAACAGCTAGTCACAGTGTCACTTGATTTAGATAATAATGATCAATGAATGATGTTGATGGAGATGGTTTTCTCACGTTTTACATTTCCAAGCAATCATGTACCAATGTGGTAAGCCAATCTTGAATAAGAGGCCCACAAAATCAAAGCTTCAAGCAAATAATCAAGCCCTCTGAATGACAAGACCCTCAAGGATCAAGACAAGCCCCTTCTGGATTATTCAACCAACCTGCAACACCATGGATGTCACAAGACCAAGCCCCCTGGAAAGAAACACTCTGGATTCCACATTACACTTCTTTATTACATAATAATTTCATGCAGCTTTACATAATCAATCCCCATTCAGCCTTCCACACTTGGCCCTTGCATATGTTTCATTCTATTCTACTTTCACTCTAGCTTCATTTCCACCTTGGGCCATATTCTATTGTTTCACACTATTTCTCTTGGGTTATTTACATGTCTCACACTAGTACACATCTGGCTAGTTCATTTACCTCTTTGGTATATTCTTCCTCCCTCTTTGGTTGTGGCACATTTCATCCCTGCATGTCTCTGATGTCATTTCCCCCATTTATCTTAGTCTCTACCAATTGGGCCACATTGTTTCAGTTTGATATTTTTCACTCTTCTATTTTGTTCCATCCCCCTTCCACCCACAAGCTGGCCACTCCCCAGAATCTTGTATATAAGGAGCCTTGTTTTTCATGTTCATTTGTTCCCCATCAGATCCTGCCCCAGCAATCCAGATAACTGATCACCCATTATTAGCCAGGTATATGCCCATCAACATTTGGGATACCTTGATTTGTGAACAAGTATATTTTGACCAGTAGACATAAGACATATTAGACATACCTTACTCAAGAAATCTCCATAGCCACACCTATTCTTCAAGAGTCCATACTCTTGTTCTTTTCTTGTTACCTTACTCATCCTAGTTCCCAGAGAGGCAGCCCATTAAAGCACTATTCCCTCTCAAGCTCTATTCATCCCAAAGAGTAGTTCCACACCGATCAAACTTGTCCTTCTGATCAGACATTGTTGGTGCCTCATAGGATGCATAGGCAGAGCTAACTTTATTATGAGCCAGCTTCATTGCATGTTCTACATAAGAGCATCTCCAGCCAAGGAGGTAAACCGGGTTGCTAAACCCGCGCGGATAGCAACTCAATTAGGACCTCTAGCAACCCGCGCGGCTCTGCCAAACACCCAAGGTTGCTATTATAACTACCAGAGGTCTGTGAACCTCCATTACCCGTCTTCCCCCGGCATAGCCTCCACATCACCACAATACTCCTCCATCAAGCGCCACATTACTCCTCCGCATACTCCACAAACTACGATGAACACCCAGTTCCTTGAAAATCTCCTCGAATCGCAGGCCATCGCCCTTGCCACTACTCGACAAGTTCAAACGGTCCTTTCAGATACGGTAAATGTCATACTCAACCAGGACAATGAAGAGAGCAATCAGGAAACGTTGGTTCGTGGCGGATCGAGGCCTGGTCGTCGTGCAAACTTGAACCATGGCTTTGAGGAAGGATATCAACGATTTTACAAAGACTACCTTGCCCCAGAACCTGTTTACGTGGATGATCTTTTCCGCCGTCAATTTCGAATGCACCGGGGCCTTTTTTTGAAGATTGTCGATGATTTAACCGAGCACAACCACTACTTCAAGAGGAAAGCCGATGCATTAGGTCGATTGGGTCTTTACCCCGTTCAGAAGGTTGCCTCAGCGATTTGGATGCTTGCCTACGGGGGCGCGGCGGACATCAACGACGAATACTTTTGAATTGGTGAAAGCACATCGTTGGAGTCTTTGAATGAATTCTGTAATTCAGTCATCAATCTTTATAGCGCTGAATTCCTTTGCGAACCAACCGTGGAAGATGTCAAACGGCTAGCCACAATGAACAGCAAGAGGGGGTTCCCAGGTATGCTCGGTTCCCTTGATTGCATGCACTGGACTTGGAAAAATTGTCCAGCCGCGTGGAAGGGTCAGTATCAAGGAAAGAATAAGGTATGATTATTTTATTTTTCAGTGCGGTTAGACTTTAAGACTATATTGACCATGATAAACCACAGGTGCCCACCCTCGTTCTTGAAGCAGTGGCATCCCATGATCTGTGGATTTGGCATGCTTTCTTTGGGCTTCCAGGATCGCACAACGATATCAACATCCTAGACCAATCGCCTCTCTTCAAGAAGCTTGTTAATGGTGTCAGCCCTCGGCTTGAATATACGATCAACGGAAACACTTACACGCAAGGGTATTACTTGGCTGATGGGATCTACCCAGACTGGTCGACCCTAGTCAAAACCATCTCAGCCCCTCAGGGGCTTGAAAAAAAGGTAAGCGATGTGATGTTTTGTTTATGCAATTATGTTTTTAAACCTCGCACTTGCTGATCTGACATGCTTTATTGCAGCATTTTGCCAAAATGCAAGAGGCGTGTTGTAAGGACGTTGAAAGGGCTTTCGGAGTGCTTCAAGCACGGTTTTCGATTGTCTCTCAACCAGCTAGGGGCTGGAGCCACAATAATCTCCAAAAGATCATGAAAACTTGTGTGATCTTGCACAATATGATCATCGACGACGAACGAGGCACCAATGAGGAGTGGATTTATGATGGCTGTACGCCATCTGTTTGACCAAGCCCAACTGGCTCTGAGGATTTCTCGGCATTCCTGGCAAACTGTATCACATTGCGCTCATCGGAAGCTCACTACAAACTAAGAGACGATCTTGTAAAGCACTTGTGGGCCCTTAAGGGAGCCTCAAAAGATGCTCATCTCATCGGTCCCAATTAGTTTTCTTTCTTCTTTTTCTCATTTTTTTTGTTATTGATCCCGATTCTTTTTTTCTCTTTTTTTTAACTGCCTGTTCCCCGTTAGTCAAAGCCCTGTCTAGTTGCAATGAAAAAAGGAGTGCTTTTTTACTTGCACAATGAGCCGCGAGTGTGAGAGAGAGAGAGAAACAAGCTAGCAATGATAATAAAAAAAAGAGTCGTTTTTTACTTGCATTACGAGCCGCAAGTGTGAGAGAAACAAATTAGTGATGATTGAGGAAAAAAAAGAGATCAAACACGAGTGTGAGAGAAACAAGCTAGGGATATTGATTGAGGAAAAAAAGAGAAACTCAATAGCGATGATTGAGGACAAGCGTGCAAAAGAGAATCAATACAATATAATCTACAATTATGTTGACTACTCCTCCTCCTCTTCCTCCTCCTCCTCTTCTTCCTCGTCCTCGTCCTCGTCCTCCTCCTCTTCCCCTTTGTCATCGTCGTCATTGTCATACTCTTCTTCATCATGGTTGTCTAATAAGTTTATTACGGCTGATTTTTTTCTAATTTCCTCTTCCTTCTTCTTTTTCTCCTCCTCCTCTTTCTCTTTCTTCTTGGCTGCCTCCTCGATTTCTTTCTTCTTTGCCTCCTCTTCTCGTTTTTTTCGATCGGTTTCTTTCTTTTCGTACTCTTCTTGTTCTCGTTTCATTTTATCCAGCACTTTTTTCTGCTGCCATTCGTAATATGGTCGACTAGTCTCGCTAACCGATGATAGATCGGCCTTCATTACAGCCTCGTCGGCCAACATTGAGATCGAATCGCGTTGTTCAGATAGAATATCGTTCTGCACTCGAGTCTGCTGTGCAAGTTCTTTATGCACAGCAATGATGTCATCTTTGAACTTCTTGTCCTCTCGGGCCTTGAGGGCAAATTCTTTGGCCTTTTTGTTTCCAATCGGTCGTGCCGTCCTGCCGGATTGAATGGTCGAAGCATCACTGTTTTTGTCCATAGCAGGAGCATCGGAGGAGAGAGATCGATTGGTTGTATTGTCAACGGACGGGGTCGAACAATGTTCGACAGGTTTCTTTTCAAGCTTGACACAGTGGTCCTTCCATTTTTGAGCGTGGCAGAGGATATTGTAACATTGAAGGTGCGTAAAACTCGATTCGGAGAGAGCTAAGTACAGCTTTAGTGCACTGCTCAGTCGATCTTCAACGTTAGTTCCGCTTTGATTTGCTTGCTCGACCTGTTGAATACAGCCGCAAAACTTATCGATTCGGCGTTGAAGAAGCTGCCAGCGGCTTTTAATGCTGACTGATGTTCGACTCTTGTCCTTCATGGCCGCCTGGAAGTGATCAGCAATGTGGTTCCAAAACGTATTTGCGGCCTGGTTAGTTGAGTTCAGAGGGTCTTGGGAAACCTCAAGCCATGACTTGCATAATTGCACATCCTTGTCCTCTTGATAAGCTTTTGCTCGAGACGGTTTTGTATCGGATTCGCTAGTCGCAGCCTCCTTCGAGACGTTCTTCTTTTTGTTTTTAGGCATAATTTTTTCTACTTGAATCTCGGCAGGTGTGTTCTTCTTTTCCGGTTGGCTTTGCTTGATCGGACAAATCTTCTCAGCCGGAACATCCCCTCCCTCGCTTGACACCATCTTCTTGGCAGTCGTGTTTGTGCTTGCTAGTGATGTGCCATTCCTCAGTGCCGGTTGTGGGTTCTTCTTAGCCGGTATTAGTTTCTTCTTTGCCGGTAGTGCATCATTCTTAGCCGTTGGTATGTTCTTCTTCGGTGGTAGAGTGGATTCGATCGTTGGTGCTTTTTTGGTCTTTTTGTTTTTTTTCTTTGGTCGCTTTTCGGTGTTGGAATCTACTTCGAGGGGATGACTTGCTTTGTTTGTGGCTTGAATGTTGGTATCTAGAACAGACATATAAAAATTAGTGAAGTAAAACATACAGAAAAAAAAAGAGTTTGTACCGTTGAGGGGACCAAGAGCTGGATCAATGCTGTATTCCATTTGGATTAACGTGTATATAGCCAAGAGCTTGAGGGGAGATAAAACGGTATGAACTATGGAGATATACTTGTAGTAAAAAACAGAAGGTGGGGTGGTGTGCAGTTCGAGAGCAGTCAAGGGGAATCGGGGGAAGGGGTGGTAGCTGTGAATGACTTGTCATCCAAGATTCACAAAGAAAACACAAGAGGTGTCATCGAAGACGTGAGTTTCACAGGAGGTAGTGATTTGCTAGTGGGTTGCTGAATCTGGCAACCCGATGCCCATTTTTGCCTTCCGAGGCAAAGTAGAAATTTGTTTGGCACCCCGGGTGGGTGGATTATTTTCGGGTTGGGTTGCTAAATGGGGTTTAGCAACCTGGTTTACCTCCTCGGCTGGAGATGCTCTAATCAATTTCATTAATCAAAAAAAAACAACAACAAAAAAATGACAAAAAATGGCCCAGTAGATTACCCAGACTCTGTTCATCCATTGAATCAGGGCCTACAGGGTTAGCACCTGAGGCGGCTGACTCTCCTTCATTGGACTCCATCGGAGGTGGATTGCTCGAGTCCGAGTCATCACCTTGTTCAATGCGTCTTTGGATCCTCTTAGATCGGTGTTCCATGTTTGAGTTCCCGGTGATTTGATTGATGTTTGAACTTTGTTGAATGGTAATCTAATGAGTTAGCATTAGTGAGGATTGAAAAGAATAATGTCAATTAAATATACCAGATTTCATCAGAGATTGGGAGGGGAAAGAGCAATACAAGAGGTGTGAGTAAGCAAAGTCAGCTTACTTGTTGAGTATATAATGAGATGATCACAAAGCAGGGGCCTGAGAGCAAAAGGGATGGGGAAAATAAACCAAAGAAATTTAATCAGTCAGAGTGGCAAACAAGAAATGGCAGGGGGGGTGAGAAATGAATTATGAGAAATGAAGGTGTACTTGAAAGGATTGGCTTACTTGTAAATTATCTAATGAGTTAATGAGAAAGACAGAGCCTGACAGACATAGAATATGATCAAGAGGGAGGGTTAAATAAAAACAATTAACAAGGGAATCAGATTTCATCAGTAACCATCAGGGGAAAAGTCATTGGGATGTGGACTCACTTGGGTTCTCCCTACTTACTTCCCTGTCAAAAAGCCTTGAAGGCACCTGTCAGAAACCCTGGTCAAAAAGCCTGGAGGGCAGGCTGGAGACCCAAAAATAAGGCCCAGGAGGAAGGGTTAAAAAAATGACAAGGGAACAGCTCAGTCTTCATTACTAACAAAGAGGGGAAAAGATGTGGACTCACCCTGGTCAAAAAGCCTGGAAGGCAGGCTGGAGACCCAAAAATAAGGCCCAGGAGGCTGGATGAAAAAAATGACAAGGGAACAGCTCAGTTTCATTA